CATTCACACCAAGGACGATAACTATAAAGATAATGATAAAGACAGTTTCAAAAAGTCGTTCTCATTAACACTTATTGAACTCAACTGATCTGAATAACGGTAATATTGTCTTCTGTAGAGCTGATTTACAGCTGAACTTGAATTTGTTTCATAATTGATTATTTTTATAGCATCAGCACGGTTATTTTCCTCTTTACTACGGTGAAGCTGCTTTGACCAATCTGCAGGCCTATTGTAAAAAGCACTATAGAAATCAATGTGACTTGAATGAGTCTTGGGCATGAAATTGGAGTTTGACATCTAGTTACTGTCTGCTTTCATTGTACAGAAGATTTTCTTCAATCACATTTTGTATTTAACAGAAGACTGGATTAGATAGTGACTCTTATATTAGACAGAAATCTGTTCCTCTAATTGTTTTAACCATGTTTGTGTATTTTCAGAAATGACGACATCTGACACCAAAAGCGAAACATCCCAGGAAAAGCCTGGTAAGTCTGCTTCTCAGTTTGAACTAAAAGTGATATTATGATAAATGTGAGTGTTGGAAGTACAACACGTTTAAGAGATATTGTGGTTTTTATTTTTTTTCATTCAATCATTCATTAAGAAATGACCTCGTCTGACACCAAAAAGGAAACAGTCCAGGAAACAGAAAAGCCTGGTAAGATCCACCAACTCTTTTTCTCGTTATGCTGAAGCTCTTCTGTTCTTGCACTTATTCAGACAGGTTTGACACTGCTGAAGCCAAACCGTTTCATCACCGTTTCTCTGTTTTATAACCAATGACATCAAGTATACGTTCAGTAAGAATATACACAAGTTATTTCCTTAAATAATCATAGATATGTGTTCACTCCTCACACAGTATCATATAGATTAGGAAGACTTCAAATGAGTCACGTGGGATATTTGGCACTTGACAGTTTCTGTCTAATTAAGAAAATATCTTCAAACAATCACATTTTGTGTTTCACAGGAAATCTGAGTCAACAATGACAGAATGTGTTTCCTAATTAATTTGTTAACCATCAGTGCTCTATGATTGTGTATTTTCAGAAATGACGACATCTGACACCAAAAGAGAAACATCCCAGGATAAAGAAAAGTCTGGTGAGTATGCATCTCAGCTTGAGTTGGAAGTGATATTTAGTTGGACGAGAGAGGACCAGGCCTGGACTTTATTTTGTGTTTTGGTTCTGTTTATTTTATTATTAAAGTTTAGTTTAAATGTTCGCCGGTTCCCGCCTCCTTCTTCCCGATCTAAGAAATTTGTTACATTGGTGCCGAAACCAGGGAGAAAGGAGGGACACGCGTTGCCAGAGATCCCTCACCGCTGTGGGGAGTCCGCGGTGCCATTGAGCATGGCGGAGCAGTCTGCCGCCATGGAGGCTCGAGGCGGTGGGCTGGAGACCTGTGTGTGTGTGTGTGTGTGTGTGTGTGTGTGTGTGTGTGTGTGTGTGTAACAGAAATTATTTAAAAAATGAGTGAAAAATGAAATGAAGCTTATTTCCGTCACAAAATAAAAATATAAAAAGATAATTTCAACTTTTTATCACAATATTCAAACATTTTCCCCTCATGATTTCTGAGATTATATCTTCTAATTTTGACATTTTTTTTCTTCTGGGAATTTCAAATCTACATCTTGCAATTCTAACTTCTTACGGGTGGGCCTGGGGAATTAACAGCTTGCCCACAGTCAGATCGATGAATATATATACATGTGTGTGTATATATATATATATATATATATATATATATATA